GACTGCCCACAATAAAACATCTATGCAAATAACCTGAAACTGTCAGGATGTATAAAAACGACAAAGATCATAATTCTGGATTGAAAAATATTCGTTATCATAGAAATCTTTTATTTGTTAAGAACCATAACATTTTCTCGGGTTTCGATTTATAAACAGGATTCCCTGCAGAGTTGCAAGTATTTAAAGAAAAACATTCAGATATTTTCGCTGAATCTTAAGATTAAGACATTTTCTTCGTCGATTCAAGAAGATAAAATATCTCGGTGAAAAGGAAAGAACGTTTCTTTATATTCAACTCTAATGTCCGTTCAACATTCAGCAAAGCGACTGATGTCAGTGTTTTGAATGTAAAAACTTTCAATCACTTTCAGAAACTTTTCTCTGTGCGATGTCAATTTATTCGGACACATCGTGTCACACAGAAATATTTAAGAACTTTATCACATTGATTATGCGGGGTTTTCTCTACTGTAATTATACAAGACTAAATAAGTAGTATGGTATGTCGTAATAGTCACCAAGCTAATCTCTCAGTCCATTAGAACTGAATGGAGTTCTATTTTCAAGAAGTACCTTCCACTTATGGCAAACTTAATAAGCATCTACTTGAAATTATATTTATTTTTTAAAACACGCCAAATACCGGACCGATGAAGAAAGTTATCATCGAAGTTTTCTTATGTTTCGGAAATTTCTGTAGAAAAGAAATTTTCTGGAAGACATCTATTTTCTAAAGTTAATTTTGTCATTATGCTAAAGTCCATTTAAATTTCCCACACTGACCGCGGGAGAAACTTTGGAATAATTTACTAATGTTTCTATTTATAAAAATAATAAAATCATTTCAGAAAAACTTACTATCTTTTAACTTGATATTTTCCATGTTAGATTATTAAATAAAAGTAAAAAGTGCTCATCTTAAATAATACATCATTTTTAGATATTTTGCTTTACTTTGTATTGAGCTCTCTTTTGCATTAAATGTTACGAACGTTGCAATTGTACCCTTGTATAAATGTGTTGACCTGAAGACGACAGCATTTCGCAGCACCCTGATTGACCAAGTAGCCTTCTCTAGCTAGAGACAGCACTGCTTGCTCCATATGGAGAGAGGCCGTGAAGGATGGCCTAAACAAAAGCTCATCTCGTATATTTCCCAGTTGGCTAACCGCGGTCAACGGGCCGCTTCTCCTGCGGTCGAACGTCAGTAAAGAAAAGGTTCACACCCTCCGTAAGGATATCAAAAGACTACATGTAGTATGTTGGAACATCAGTACCATGCTGGACGGATCTAGGTAAATTGCTTGAAGTCAATTGCTCAACAGTAAATTGCTCGAAATTAATTACTCGAAAAATAATTTCTCCAAAGGCAGATTGCTTGAAGTAATTTCGAAGCTCAAAGCACTACGTAAACTGTGCCGTCTCACGACACATCAATGGAGCTGGATATAAAAAGAAGCCACAACACTCAACTTTAACAGTCCTGATTTTTTTTTTATATATTTATTTTCTATTTCTATTTCAGTAATTTTGGAAATCTCGAATCCCAGTGATGGACATAACTTTTGTTGAGAGCCATAAAGGAAAGAAGTTGTGTTTGGATTGATATTTCTATATATTAAGGACAAAATAGTGAACAATAAGATTTACTGGAAATGTGCAAAAAAAGGAAATGCTTAGCACGTGTTTTACTTTTTTTTAATCAAAGCAAACTTTCGAGAAAAAAAAAAAGAACAAGACCTTCTATATAAATTTACTCGTTCTTTAATTTTAACTGTTCAGTTAACAACAATAAAGTTGTATTATTTTATTATTATATTATTTTATTATTATATTTTTATTATGTTTCGAGCAAACTGCATTTTGAGCGATTGATAGTTCGAGAAATTATTTTTCGAGCAATTTAACAGATACGATGCTTGACACGCGCGACATTAGTCAACCAGAACGTCGCTCTGCTCTAATTGTATTATGAATTGTAAAGACTAAATGTTGACATCGTTGAGAGGAAGGCAGTGTACCAGATCATGTCGCCGGATATACCCTCTAATGGTCAGGCAATTCAGTAGCGCAGAGTCGTCTTTCGGGCGTAGGTTTTACGATCAGGGATTCCATTGCCTCCAAGATTGAAAACCTGACCTCGGGTTATTCTGACCGCATCATCTCTATGCGCCTCCCACTGAGCAATCTTCAATATGACACACTAATTAGTGTGCACTCCCCAACTTTACAACTTTCCTGTGGAAAAAGATAAATTTTACTCAGATCTGCGTAGCCAACTGCGGGATATCACTGCAGATAATAATGTTAGAATCCCTGGCGGTTTTAACGCCAGAGTAGGCCAGGATTTTGCGGCCTAGAAGGGAGTGCTTGGGAGACATGGTGTTGGTAACTGTAATGACAACGGTCGCTTGCTACTAGAGTTCTGCACAGAGCATCAGCTCGTCATCACGGACACCATCTTCTAATAGAAAAAAACGATTGAAATCAACCTGGATGAATTCTCGGTCTAAACATTGCCACCTCATTGACTATATCATACTTTGCCAGTGTGACATAAAAGTCATCATACTCACAAGAGTGATGCCCAATGTAGAATGTCATACCGACCATCGCCTTGTTCGCTGAAAATTGAAGCTTCATTTTAAACTGAAACCAAGAAAAGTCGGAGCATTTCCAGGCCCTTTTCAGGGCTAATCGCTCGGTCCAGAAACCAGAGATTTTCCGCATAACCCAACAACCAGTAAAAATGGTATTGGATGAGTTGCATTGAAGAGACTATCAAAGCCATAAAGCAGTTGAAGTTTGGCAAGGCAGCAGGAGTTGATGGAATCCTACCTGAAATCTGGAAGCATGGGGGCCGAATATTGCATATGAAACTCCACGTGCTCTTTTGCTGTTGTTGAGAGTAGGGAAAAATACCACAAGATCTCCGCAATGCAGTCATCATTTCGCTGTACAAGAACAAAGGGGAAAAACCTGACTGCTCCAATTACCGATGGATTACTCTGCTCTTGCAAGGGTTCTGCTGTATAGATTGGTATCCACCATCGCGGAACAGAACCTTTCAGAGAGTCTGTGCGGCTTCAGAACCAACAAGAGCACAGCAGACATGTTTTTTGTTCTCCGGAAGCTACAGGAGAAGTTTCGGGAGCAAAACAAGAGGGTGTATGTGTCGTTCATTGATCTGATGAAAGCATTCGACCCAGTGAGCAGAAGAGGAATGTGGCAGATCATTGGGCATTCAATTGCACGAGGATCAGCATCCCCAAGTGAGACACAACAGTGATCTCTCAGAGCCCATCACGGCCACCAACTGTGTAAAGCAGGGTTGCGTTCTTGCATCGATTCTCTTCACTATCTTCAGCATGATGCTCAAGCAAGCCATGAAAGATCTTGATGATGAGCACGGAGTCTACATCAGATAGTGTCTTGATGGTGGCCTGTTTAATCTACGTCAATTAAAAGCCCAGACAAAGACTTCGGAGCAACTTATCGGAGACTTATGCTTTGCTGACAATGCTGCTCTTGTTGCTCACACAGAAAGAGCTTTGCAGCAGACCACTTCCTGCTTCACAGAGATTGCTAAAGGTTTGGGATTTAAAGTCGGTTTCAAAAAGAAGTATTCTACCAGTCTGCGTCTCAAGATGAGTATCGCCCTCTCCACATCTTTATAGGCGCAACTGAGCTGAAGGCAGTCCATCGGAATACCTACCTTCGATGTGTCATCACATCGGATGCTGGGGTTGACAAAGAGGTCGACAACAGACTAGCAAAGGGTGAGCATTGCATTTGGCAGGCTGTACAAATGTGTGTGGGTCAACAGTCACCTGAATTTTTCTATGTTTTATTAACGTAGTAGAAAAAGAAAATTGTGGGGGATTTGTTTAGGTCTCTTATTTAATAGTTTGTTTTGAATTTGAAAGATAAAGCTATTTATTGATTGTTGTAGTCTATTCTAATAGTTATTTTTGTGGGGTTGGTTTCTTGATTTGTTTATTGCTTACATTATTTATTTATTTTCTTATTTATGTTTATTTTTATTAGTTTAACGGTTATTTTAGCGGCATCGATTTGTTAATTTTTTCATTTATTTATTTATTTGGATTAATTTTTACTTGTTTTTAATATTTGTTTGCTTATTTCTTATTTATTTTTTATTTTGTAAAAAATAAGCAAACAAATAATAAAAACAAGTAAAAATTAATCCAAATAAATGATGAAATCAGCAAATCGTTACCGCTAAAATAACCGTTAGAACTAATAAAAATAAACATGAATAAGCAAAAACAAGTAAAATAATCAATCCAAATAAATAAAGAAAAAATTAATAAACAAATTAAAAACTGTTCCCCGCCAAAATAGCAGAATAGACTACGGCAATCAATCCAAAAATTGGTCCAATAAATAGCTTTATCTTCCCAGACCGAAACAAACTATTAAATTAGCGATCTAAGCAAATCGACATTTACGTTAATAAAACATAGAAAACAGAAAAGAATAAATAAATATATAGAATAAAAAATAAATTAATTTAACCCAAATAAATAAATAAATAAATGAACACGCCACTTCCGCCAAAATAGATTATCCACAATTCACCACTAACCCATATGAATAAATAGTCAAGAAAAAATCCAACACTCGCAGCCTGAGGATTGCGTCTAGCATTAAACAGTCTGTCGCCTTTGAGTGTTGACTTCTATGTTCACTTTCATATCTATATTTACATACGCTCTATCTATGATATTGACCACTTTATCCCATAAATATAGCACACCTTAAAACTCTCTCTCTCTCTCTCTCTAAGGTTGGCAAACATTTATTTCGTATTAACAGGGGGGGACGTTTTATTCGATTGACGTTAAATGGGACGACAAACGGAGAAATTTAAGTTTTAGGGATTTTATAAAAGATGAAATTCTCGAATACAAAATAAAATAAGTTTCAAAATTGAGATTTTTTTAACAATTGTTATTTTTTCTTCCCTTTTTCAGTTGGTTATTTCATTTGGTCGCTGTCGGTGTATGTCCACATGAAGTCCAAAGGCAATATGACCATTTGCCAGCACGACATCACTTCGTTTGTGAAACCCTATCTATTGGTTGATTGTCAAGGCGAGATTGGACAATTTGTTACTGTTAAGCTGGAGAATATGCGGGCAATATTAGTGATTTGCGAAGTGGAGGTATTTGGTGAGAAACCATTTCAGACATTCCATACTGGTAAGTGAAATTACTTGATCGGTATTCAAGGAATTAGGCAGAGACATTTAATTCTTGCCCAACGCCAAAATAGTGAGGGGAAATATTAAAAAAACAAACTCACGAGAAATAAACGTTTGCGATTACCTGAATAATAAAGTTAATATAAGAAAATCTCGAATTAATTATAGAAAGAAATTCCAATTTCTAGCTGATATCTTGAATTCATAATCTTCGAAAATACAAATAATAAACCTCATTTAAAATATCTTGATAAAATTAGTATCTGTCTATATTTCTGAGATGAGGTATTATGTACACTACATTATTCAGACTATTGTCCTCATCTTTGTCGCCATATTTATTACAACGTTTCGATCGTTGTAGGCTTCGGTCTTCTTCAGGTGGTTGGCATGTCGAACTTAACCCTTTATTTCGCTCATTGGGGTAGACTGCTCTAGTTTCAGGTGCCATGTTCACTAACGCTTTTATCCAATGTACCATGTATCCTGAAGGACACATGGCACAGTGGATAAAGGCGTTAGTTAGATCCAGTGGCAGGACAATACCTGGTTAAGGCTGTAGAGAAGCTGGAGAGGGGAATTAACAGGAGATAACTGATAATTGACATCCATTAGACATGGCACGTGGAACTAGAACAGTCTACCCTAGTGAACGAAATAAAGTGTTCAGTTCGACATTCCAACCACCTAAAGGGGCTTACAACGGCCGAAACGTTGTAATAAATATCAATTATTGCCTTTAATTGATCAAATTGGGAACAGTGTTATTGTCTGAATTCAAAGTCTGGATTTGCGGAAGACGCTCGTGTTCTGCCAGATACACAGAATCATCTCTTCAGATGCAGACCAGCATTTGGAGTTGTTAATGGTGGTTAATTTCATTTTCCACAGAACAATCCTTGATTACATTGTTGTACTCAATCTTTTATTCGTGATCATTCTTTTAAAAATGGGCCAGAGAATCAAAAAATGCGGTCTGTTAATTTATTTTGTTAAATCCAGCCCTTCTTCAGGAGATATACGTTGTAATTTAAAACCGAATCCTCTATTTCATCCACCGGGGCCGATTCTTCTAGTTCCACGTGCCAAGCCTTTTCTGACTATCTCAGTCTCAGTTATCTCCCTTTAGTAAACCGACTCTCCAAGTTTTCGTTCACCACTGCCATGGCCAGGTATTGAACTCCCAACTCAAGTCACTGGATTACTTCAACCAACGCTTTTATCCACTGTCCTCAAGAACACGTGGCCCATTTGATAGGCATGGCACGTGGAACTAGAACAGTCTGTCCCAGTATGGCAATAAAGTTGAGAACAACAGTTCGAAATAATGTTAAATCTTGCCGCAGTTGAATTTTCCTTTTAGGTATGGACAGTTGTAAGTGTTAAGCGCTAAATGTATGTATGTATGTATGTATGTATGTATGTATATGTATGTATACACAAAATAAAATGACTTTATTTAACGAAACAAAATAAAAAATGCTATATCCAAAATTAACCAAGTATAGACAGGATAGTTGTAATTATTACAAGTATAAGTGGTGACTATTGAGCTATAAATCTTGATATATTAATATTTACTTATTTCTAAACGAATCAAGATTGGTTAATCTTCACGTAATTATTCACGTCCTTTAGAATATTTGTTGGCGAGTTGAAGAGTGAAAATACAACTGTAAAAAAATCTGGAAGTGGTAGGAAAAAAGAAACTGGTAGGCAGCCATATTCTGGAAGCTTTTTTTCTTTTTAAAAAATCATTTCACCACAAGCAAGACGATAAAAGCCAGTAAATTTACAGATTAAGCTGCAGAAACGAATTGTAATGAAAATTTCAATTTTGGTGTAAATTTGCATGCTTATTTCGAAAATAAAAATTTGCAGAAATGTACCGTTTAGTAGTTAACAACAATATAAGTTCGTCATTATTCGCGTCTAGTCCGTCCGCCATTACTGGCGATGTTTACATACGTTTGCTTCGAGCACTCATGCGCGGAAGCTTACTTAGTTAACGGCCTTTTTACTGATCTTCCTATCTTCTTACTCGTCTCGATTACTGCAAAAAAAAAAAAAAACACCCCAAAAAACAAGAGAAATCTTTAAAAAACCCAAAATTTAAAAAATGTTTCGAACCTTAAAATTGTTTATGTTATTATTAAGTCTTTTCTAGCATTTAATTTTTGGTTGCATCATTTCTTAAAAAAACATTTTTTATTTTGTAATTTCAATTTTGCTTTTAGCTTGTAATTTTGATTTTACTTTAAGTTTTTCTCTTTCTTTTAATGATATATTTAGCTTTTCCTGCCAGGTTACTTTTTTAAATTTCGAGCATTCATTTTAAATTAAATTCGCGCATCGCGTGCGCAATAACTAAGACAAGTGGAACTTCCGCGCATAACTAGGCAAGGCAAACGTCTGTAATCAAAGCCAGTAGTGATTGCCGGGCTATAGCCGCTACAAGAATAAGGTCGAACTTATATTGTCGATAATTCCTAAACGGTACATTTCTGTAAACTTTTATTGTTATTTTCGAAATAAGCATGCGAATTTGCACCAAAATTGAAAATTACAATTCGTTTCCAGCGCTTAATCTGCAAATTTACCGAAAAGCCATCAAGATACAAGTATTTAATGAGACTGAAATAAACAGATAGGGAAATAAAAGAACGGGTTCCAAAAGAGACAGAAGATGACGACTGAAAACTGTTGAAAACAATTATGACACCTAAGAGTCTTAGAATGAAAGTTAACAGTCCTGCACAAATGAGCAGGCTGCGTTTGCAATGGAAAAAAATTCATGAGCCTCTTTCTGGAAGAATATACTCTGGTCAGATGAGAAAAAAAAGCCTTTTGAGCATAGCAAACATTTGAAAAGGTTAATGTGAGATTTTCTAATCAAAGAACATTATTCTTATAAAAACATGGTGGTAGAAGATTCTCTTTTTAGGAATAGGAAGAGTTAATAGTTTAATGAAAAAAAGAAGGATTTGCATGAAATATTACCCGTCAACTCGAAAGTGTCTGTGAGAAATTTGAAACTGAAACGTGGTTTGAGACTTTTCCATAATAATGATCCAAGATGTCTTAAATTAGTCAAGAAATATCTTTAGGATAAAAATATAAACGCTTTACCTTGAGCTTCACAAATTTCTGAACTGAATCGCATTGAAAACTTATGGGATGAATTGAAAAGATGTGTAAAAGCATGAAAACCATAAAATTAAAAAAAATAAGTAATCTAAAACTTGAAGGTTATGCATCTTAATGATGGCCGCATATTCTTGTAAATGTTTGAGCTAATTTAGCAAATGTTTATGAAAAAATATAGTTCAAAAGGAATATGCAATTGACCAATTAATTCTCCCGAGCCATTAATTCTTGGCCTACATTTATTTTTTTTATTTTGTTTCTGTTTATTCAAAACTAAATAATAAATTTGTTTTTTGTTCATTAACCTCCAAACTCTATTTATCTAAGATTGTATGATATATTTATTTTAATAACTACTTCGTATTTTTTTACAGTAAATGGAAATAAATAAATACCAATGAAAAACTCATAATTGACAATGCTTAATCGAATGATAAAATATGATGACTAATTTGTCCTCTTTTGTATAATTTACATAGTGGATCTAATGTTTTTGTTAATGCATTCATAATGTTCTTGTTATAATGTGACACAAATAAAACTTTATATGTTGAAGTAATACATTATGTAAATTCTTCTTTATATTCGTAGGAAAAATAGGAAATGAAGTCCGTGTTTATGACTGTTTCTTAAATATATATTTTTTCATTTATTGCAGACATCGTTTCTCGTCATTACTGCCGATCCAATGTAAAACCGAATCAGGTAATTGGTGCCTTTTCGGCTCGATCGAGAACAGAATGTGCAGTTTTTTGTACCCAGACCGAAAAGTGTGATGCTTTTTATTTCAAGAAAAATTCTGGTCAAACGCCATTGTGCCAATTGAAGCAAATCACTTGGAATGTTTTGACGCAAAACTATATGGAAGATTATAATAGTTGTTAGACACTACGAAGAGAAAATGGAATATCTTTTTAAGTAATCAAGTTATAACTGGATAAATCAACAGCATTCTTTTTATTGTTCTATTTGAATCAGTAACAGATTCAGTTGATTACAACTGTGAGAATATTTATTAAAATTATGTGAGTTAGGAAAAAGGCCGCAATTTATCTATTCAGCTATACAATATGAAATGTAAAATTTTGTTGTGAAAAAATCATAATGCACACCTATGTATGTATATACATTTCAACAGCTGTTTATCGATTTTCCCGCAATTAGGCAGAATGGGAAAGCATAAATAATTACTAGCCGTGGTCAAGTGGAGGGTATAAAGTTAAAGTAACAAAGATCAAACCTAGTTTAGGAAAGGGTTACTTATTTCCTACTCATGTCAATCTGGTACAAAATGTACAAGCATGCAGTTTTACAGTGTCGTCATTTAATCATCACCATCTTGTCAGTTGTTTGATAGATGAATAAATGGTTGTTTGATATTATCTGCTAAATAGAATGAATAAAAAATAAAAAAGAAAGATCTCTATGATAGTGATAGGAGCAGGAAAATTCACGGAACACCACAATGATTCACTTAATATCATACAAATAACATAGCAGTTAATTTCATAGCAGGTCAATTTTTGTCTAGTCTGAAGACAACCCTTTCCGCAAGACTTAGTATGGAGAAATTATTTTCATTGTTTTCGTCTGTGTCCAAGAAAAACTTTGATAAATTATCCGCATTATTATAATAAGACAAATTGAGTTTTTTTTTTTTTTTTTTGCAAATCTTTCGGAATTTCCGCCATCTGTACATATTTACCAAAACTTTTGATATATGGCAAAACTGTGGCGGCGTTTAGAAAAATTGTTAATTTTCCGGATGAAGGAAAAAAAACGTAATTGACGTTTTTCTACGCAAAACATTTTCGATGTTTCTCAACATGGCGACGGCAAAAGCTGATGAGAAATGTAGA